TAAAAAAAAAAAAAAAGGATTAGTGTTACTTACTTTGCAAATGATTAGGTATCAATTTAATCTATTTTAGAAATTCAGGTTATACATTTTAATATATTTTTTTGTTGTTGCTGTTGCCATAGGTCACAATGTGCTCTGTGGACAAGCAGAGAGATAGAAAATGAGAAGTCACCCCCCAGGGGACATGGCCATGCCACAGTCCCTTCTCCATTCTCAGGATTTGGGGCATGCATGCACACCTGCACAATGTGATTTTCAAGCCACTGGGTCTGGGACTTAAACCGTGGAGTTGGCTATGTGGGATCCAGTTGCCTTAAGCTCCATGCTCCTGCTAGCCCTAAAGTAATGTTTATTAAAACAATCTCAGTGAGCTGAGCCTAGACCTTATCTTGATATTTCATTGTTTGTCTTGGTTCAGGAAAGAACCAGGGGTTCAGGGGCAAGGGGTATTACTTTAACTTGGAAAGAAGACTAAGAGAAGGAAAAATTTGGTTGGTATGATCTGGAATATGATCTGCTTTGTGTATTCTGTCTTGTCAAGATGCGTGTGTTTGTGTATTATTTGTAAGAAACACTTCTAAAGCCTCTGTGTTTAGCTTTCTACCGTGCAGACAGATAGTACCCAAAGATTTATTGCACAGGAGCCAATCTGCATCTAAAGGTGGTTGTCCCCAGGGAAACTAGGGAACCTGGTTCTTAGCCTCTGATGAAAAATTTTAATAGAGTATTTTTACCTTTTTCAACCAAAAGTCAATACGTAGATATCACTTTTTAATCAATGTAAAGATTCAGATACTCTAATTATATCCTGGAAAACCTACCATTTTACTGAAATGTACAAAAACCATATGGAATAAATTCAGGTAAACTTAAGCAGATACTGTGCTTGGCAGGTCACAAAAACACTAAACAACCTTATACATTGTGGTTTAGCTCTGTGTGATAGATAAATGTATACCACAGCTCAAATTCTACTTGTGAAAATCTTTTGATGGGCCCAGTCTCTTTAGCATGCACTGGTCAGTGCCCCTCTTGGCTGACTAAGGCCACATGGGAGGCCTAGGTTGGATTCCCAAACCACATAAAAGCTGAATTCAGTGGTGTGAGCCTGTAGTTCCTGCTACTCAGGAAGCTGAGGCAAGAGGATTGCAATAGGGCTACTCTATCTTAAAAAAAAAAAAAAAAAAAGTACATATCTTTTAGATTTCTCTAAGTTCAGATGTATGTAAACATAAGTTTGGCCCTGTTGAGAATCCGAGTTGAGTCAAGTTCCTCTTTAAACTGCTGAGTCAGTTTACAAACTATAGGATCACTGCCTTTGCATTTGATCTTCAGATAACTGAGTGATTATTATTTCAATTTTCTTTCTGCTAAGTCCTACTTATAGTACATTTTTTAAAACAATTTACCTAGGTGAACATGTGCTTGTAGGAGAGATACAGAGACAAAGTGAGAAAGCACCTCTCCCGCCTTTGTGACATGATTGTGCTGCAGTCCTCCATCTCTCTCTCCTGTTGGAATTTTGGACATGCACACATATGCACCTGGGGTGTTTTCAAGTCACTGGGTCTGGGACTTGAATCCCATGGTTGGCCCTTTGGCATCCAGTCATCTTAACCACTAGCTATAGGCTGGCCCTGCAGTACATTTTTAAAGCTTAGAAATATCGAGCAGGTAAACAAAAATAAGTTTAAGAAACATAAAGGGAGATAGAACTATCTTCACTTAAATTTAGGAGAAAGCATTTGGCAAACAGTTGCAAGAAAGCAAGAGTCACCTTGACTAGTGATTAAATGGAGTTTCACCACAGGGGGTTGGGGATGAGACTGGAGTTTTTAAGGAATGAGAAAACTGCCTTAAGCCCTGCCTGGATGTCAAATGTAGACATGGTAAATTTTCCTGTCATTCATTGTTGGTTTTTGCCTTCTCTTCTAGGAATCTCAACAAATGCTTGGAAGACTTATTCCTGAAAAACAGATACTCAATGACCAATTAAAACAAGTTCAGCAAAACAGTTTGCACAGTAGGTGTATTATTTTTAAACTCAATGTTTTTCCTTTTTTACTGGCAAGAATTTCCTTAAGCAAAATGAGAACATTCAAAACCATTTTCCCCATTGCCAGTTAAGAGTTTTAACTTGCAATGTTTTTCTAAAATAGGAGATTCACTTCTTACACTCAAAAGAGCCCTAGAAGCAAAAGAACTAGCTCGACAGCAGCTGCGAGACCAACTGGATGAAGTGGAGAAGGAAACTAGATCAAAACTACAGGAGATAGATATTTTCAATAATCAGCTGAAGGTAACTATCATGTGTCGACAAGTATGTCTTACCCTGTAACTCTTCTGACTGTCTGGAGGATTCATTGGTATTTAATCCCTGGAGAAAAAGTTATCATGCTGGTTTGTCAGCCTTTGTGACATTTATAGATGAACATTATGCGATCTAAATTACATTTTTCTTTTTTACAATAAATGTGAATTTGGCATGTATAAATTAAGGCTGAGCGAGTGGCCCCAGTATAACATCTGTCTTTAACCTGAGTTACATTTCTACACATCTATAGCCTTTGGTCTGTTTCTAACCATATCAAGTTGAATTCCAAAAGCAAGTCTTCAGAAGCTTCATCTTTCCTTAGGTTCTTTGAAAACTACTAAAAGGGATTGCTTTCTCTCTCTTTATTATTATTATTATTATTACTATTATCATTACTTGCTAGAGGGTGTGGCTCATCAGAGGGGAGAGGGGAAGGAGAAAACACCCTTCTGTGGGGACTTTGGGCATGGACACACACACACACGTGCTTAATGTGTTTCTCAAGCTACCAGGTCCAGGACTCAAGCCACATGCCGGCTTTGTGGGATCTGGCTGCCTCAACATTGTGGAGAATGTGGAGAAAGGCCACAGAGCTGACTTTTGCTTTCTCTTTATAATTAAGAACTTTTCTGCCACTTATTACCTTCAGAATTGTACTAAATGTAGATCTTAAATAAATAGCTTACAGTTTAAGTAGAATACTTGCTCTTGTCTCTGTGGCAGAAGTGGTGCCTGAGTTTGTCACATTTACACAGTGAATAACTCCAGAAAATGCCAAGCCCTGAGAGAATACAAAATGATTTGGTATTTTGGTTTAAATTTAAAACTTTATCGTCTTAAAAAGTTTGATTCTTACATTAAAACCAGAGTGTACTGGCCACATGGCCTGGTGATTAAGGGAGCCAGATCCTATATGACCCACTGCGTGGTTTGAATCTTGGCTCTAGTGGCCTGAAAAATACACGGGGCAGGTGTATGTGCATGCACTAAACCCCGCCTCGATGTACAAATTAAGGGATTATTGCAATATGAGTGTCAACCATGAGGAGGCGCTTTTCTCCCTCTCCCGTGGTCTGTTTTTCTCTGGTGAGCCCATGAGCTATGTGGCAGATAAAAGATAATTTTTTTAAAAGGCAGTCTTATAATAAACCAGGATGCAAGCAGCTCCTTTCTTACAAATACTAGTGATACTATTTTAAACTTTAGAAGATATTAGTTTTTCCAACTATGTTCATATAAGATATTGAATATTACACTTTTTTTCAATCAAATGGGTTTTTTAACCTAAAATTCATTATATATGATTTTTGCTATTTGCTTTTGTCATTAGGAATAAATAAAACTCCTATTTTTTGTTACTAAAAAACAAAAATTAGAAAGCATCTTTGAGATTTTTAGTTGACCTTTAAATTGAAATTCCAGACCAAATTGTCTTAACATCTCAGACTGAGTTATTTGTCTTGTTCTTTCACAGTATTAGATAATAAACTCTTCAGTCATACAATTCCAGGAAAATGCTCTTAGGGAGAATATTATTTGAACCAACTTAGGGTTTTCCACATTTTGCTTACACTGTGTGTGTGTGTGTGTGTGTGTGTGTGTGTGTGTCTGTGTGTGTGTATGTTATATATGATTTATTTTCACATGTATATGCTTATGTGGTACGTCAGTATTGGAAATGTAGCTGTAAGTTCTCCATCACTAAAATAATAAGTAAAAATGCTCATGTTAACTCTTGTTGTGACTTGTTACTATAATAAGCAGGAAGAATATAATACTGTTACAAGCTTACAGTACTTTTTAATAGTCTCGAAATATAAACTGTTAGTATTCAACTATCTTCTGAACCTAGGAAGTAGTAGAGTTTTTCCCTTTAATGTTAAGATTCCTCTTGACTCCCAAAATAAGGTTTCAGGTATTAGAAAATGGCAATCTAGTGAGAGACCTTTCTTTTTTACTTTCGAGAATGTATTCATTAGCAACTGTAATTTCTTGCATGATAAGGTAAGCCAAGAAGAGACAGCATCCTGACCCTTGAGATCTCTTCAATGCTCCTCTTGATACAGCAGTGCCTTCAGAGCTTCTACCCTGGATGCAAATAAGACTTCCGCTTTACTGGGAGTGGAATCTTGGCAGTTATCCAACCACTCCACACATCTAATCAGTGGTGTGAACTTGTGTATTCTAGACCTTCCTTTTCCTAAAGGAAACCAACCAGAGAACATAGTAAAGAAATTAGGACTTAGCAGGTGTATGTCGTGTTCATGTAGGTTGTTTATCTGGAAGAAAACACAGTTCACTCACTATAGGCTGGAACAGTGACACTGGAGAAGTAGCTTTCAGAGTGGAAGAGTTTAAACTTAGTTGACCAGGATACTAAACCTTTATCGAATGACTAGCTCCTCAAAGGAGGAGAACATTTAGGAAAAGAACAAATCTCTGTTTCTCTCGCTCTCTCTTTTTTGGTAAAAAAGCTTCTTGCTTTCAGTCATTTTACTTTGATACACAAAGTTATATCCAGTTTTTTTTAGCCTTAAAAATGGTATAGGCTAAACTCTGATTTAGTCCAAATTCTGAGGTATAAGACATATTAAAAAATCAGTAGTCTTCTCAAATTCATGTTCCAGAAACAGCAACCTAAAATGATTGGTTATGTATTTTTTTTTAATACTTCAGTATATAAGAAAATCATAACTGAACTTTTAGGGAGTTTTTTGGACTGCCCTTGAGACACACATAGAGATATCCCAATCATTATTCTTCTTATATATGGTGCTTATCTATGGATTAAAAAAACTATGACTCTAACAAGTGACAAATAACATTACTGGCAGAGACCTTTTGGACAGTGGCACTTGGCTTCACCTTGTTCTTGGTAATCTAAGGTAGTTGTTGTTATAGCAGTTTTTGTCATCACTGATATTTTAATATCCTAACCCTTATACCAGAACAACATAGAGTAGGGCTTGTAGTTTACAAAGCTTCGTTGTATATCAAATAAAGAGAATCCAACACCCAAAGAGGCTAGATTTTGTTTCATGTTGAAAAGCTGAATCCTTGTTGCTTTGTCTAGTTGCTGTGTGCTGGGCAAGTCCTGGTGGAATGGCCGCTTACATTGGGGCATTTCTTTCTTCCAGTCAGAGGCAGTGGAGGAGGCAGTGTGGCAGTGCCTGGCAGTTCTTCTGGGCTGCGTCATCCACTTAGACTCCTTTCTAAAGGTCTCCATGCCCTCCTCAGGCAATGCACATCTTCCCCAGACTAAGAATGATGAACCAGCTCCAGCTCTGTGCTTCCGTTTTCCTTACGCAGATGAGTGCTCAATGTCTAAGATAGCATTTGCCATGGAGTACTAAGCCTTTTTTGTCAAAGTTACTAATGATTAGTTGTGACTAATTGTCAAGTATGATTGACTTTTTCCTCTTGTTAAGTTGTGTGTGTGCGATGGTGTAAGTTCTGACTTACGACCTGATCAGGTTACTGTATACTGCTTTGTCTTTAGAGCAAGCATTCTAGGTCAATGAATTTGTCATTTGCAAAAATTGGAACAACAATACTCAGTTATTATTTGGGTCTATGTTCATATTTTTATCATATGGGAGTTAGTATTATGGTCAGTATACTATTCCAATGGTATATAGTATTTTATTTCTCAGCAAGCTTTGAGTATTTAAGACTAATTTACAATAAAGACTATATTCCTTAATGTACTTGGGAAATCCAGGTTTTCTAAACAGACACTAAGGGGGGCTATTAGAAATATGGATTCTTTTGGGGCTGGCAGACGGAGTGATGGTTAAAGGCACTGGATTTCCACATGTTCAACCACAGTTCGAGTGCCGGACCTGGTGGCTTGCTTTCTCGCTCTCCCTTTCTCTGTCTCTCTCTCTCTGGTCAAACTAAAAAATAATAATAACAAATGGAAATAAATAAATAAATCTTAAAAATAAAAAAAAGAAAGAAATATGGATGCTGCTCGTAAAGTACCTGTTCTAAAAATTAGAATCTAAATACTGAGTGGATATTGAAATGAGAATGCCAATTTGGTAAGTAGGGTTATTTGCTTATCTAAGGCTTTTATGCTCTTGGTTTCAGACACTTGCTTTCATGGCAGTCATTCATTATAAGGCAGAGAAAGGCAAAATGTTTAGCAACCAGAGGGGAAAGAAAAGAACTGGAGAAAGAACTGCAGAACAGAATGAAAAGTGGGGTGAGGGTGGGGGGGTACATGAAAGGGAAACAACGAAAGAAAACAATCCAGAAAGAGAAGATTCAGGGACAGGAAGAGAAATCAGTGCGAATTCAGATAATAACTACTTTCTTTTGATTAGTAGAATAGTGTTTTACAGTCTGCAGTCTTATTTTGTTCGAGATAAAGCTTTTATATTTTTTTAAACCTGTATGATCCTTTAGAAAAGATCTCTTCTGCACAAAAGTAATAAAATCCTGTAACTCTCTAATTCTCTTTATTTGTGATTGGGGAAACTTTATAGATGCCTTAAATATAGACATATAGCTAGAATACTCTCAAAACTCAAAACAGTTGTGGGAACCAGCAGTTAGCATAATAGCTATGTCACTGGACTCCCACATAGTCGACCGCGGTTCGCGTCCCGGACCCAGTGGCTTAAAACTCACGTCGGGCACGTGTGCGTGTGTGCCCAAGATCCCGAGAGGAGAATGGAGGAGAAGGGATTGCAGCGTGACCATCCCCCGCGGGTGGTGATTTCTCACTTTCTGTCCCTGTCTCTCTCTGTCTGTCTGGCGAGTGCACGCACCCTATAGCGAAAACCTCTAAAAAAACAAAAAACAAACAAAAAAAAAACTCAAAATAGTTGACAGATAATGTGTATTAGATTCTTTGCCTTACCAGTGGGTTGGTAGATTGGTTGGTTGGTTAGTTAGTGATTAAAGTTTTTATTCATACTGTGGATTTTTTTTTTATTTTCAAAGTTGTAAAAAAATATTTAATAAATATGATTCAGGGG